AGGCGGCGGGAAGAGTGTGGCCTTCCGCAGACAACCCGAGTCAGCACCGAAGACAGGAGCCGAGTGCGTGGCTTCAGGTTTGGACAGCATCTTGGCTGCCTCTATACTCTCTGAAGGTTGGTCAGCTGACAAAGTTTTTTCTTATCCCCCCCTCCCATTTTCTGACGTTCTGATATTTTGAGATCTCATTACGTGTATGTTGTGTACGTGTTTAGGTCAATATGCATGTATAGCAGGAGCTTGCTGAACAAAATGACAGATAATAACCTCGGCTTACAAGTTTACCCCAAACGGTACGATCCTCTGTTGTTGTTGTTGTTTTTGACCGTTTTACAGAAGGCATTGACAGTATGAAAAAGAGGCTAGACACGAGGGTAAAGATCAACGTCAGTGGCCTGAAGTTCGAGACCAAAGATGGCGTCTTCCTTAAGCACCCGGATACTCTCATGGGTAGGCAGGGAACTTCTTTGTCTGCATGTTCCATTTCCTCTCTCCACCAAGAATAAAATGGCACAACTCACAGCTGGTGCACGTGTTTCAACCCACAAGATCTCTGCCTTAAGGAAGAGTCCTTGAATTTTCCCACGCATGTCTGGAGCAAGTCCATTGTCCATACTTTGTCTTTCTCGTGTTTATTGTTATGCCATTTTACTTCAAGTAGATCCATAACCTATCGATTTACGCTTGTATATCTGCACACTACCTCACAGGAGACATTGCACGTCGCCAACAGTTCTACAATGAGGAGAAAGATGAGTTCTTCTTCGACCGACATCGTCCCAGTTTTGAGGCGATATTTCGCTACTATCAAACAGGTACACCAGAAGGTCTTATTAAACTCTGGTACATTAAAGTATCAGTATACTAAAGTCTTGCCTCCGAGTGAATGCTACTATAAACTAGAGAGGCCGACATTTGCTTGGGAGCAAATACAGCATATTTCAGTCCATCTCCCTCCCACGCAAAAGTGGACCATTCCAAACTTACCCCAGTGTAAAACTGGCAAAGATTCTAAAATAAATGAATTATATAGTAGCTATGTAATTGAGAACAAAGATGCAAGAACAAGCACATTGAATCTCGAAAGCTTTACTAATCTTATTACAGGTATGCAGATACTAATAATGATGAGATTTGATACATTTTGAAGGTCTTAGGCACATAAAATTGAATGTGTGGGTCATTACGCACGACTTACGTGCAATGTGACCCCAGATAACCCGCAATGGAACACGTGTTCAATGGCCAACGGCAGATGGAACGTGCCATTCTTTAGATAGAACATGGAACGGGTATAGCACTTTTGGCCCTTTTTTGCTGAAAATAGCCATTGAAGTCCCCCAAATGAGTCATTTGGAAGTGCTGTATGCCAAATATGTGACTGCTATTCTGTAGACACATGTTCAAGGTACCCTTATACTGAATTTCAGATCATTTGGTTGTAAAACCAGGGCTCAGGATCCAAAAATCCATTTTTTTGCGAAAAATGCCCCAAAAAACCTTCATAAAAATTTTTCAAAGCATGTATCAAAAAAAATGAAAAAATGCCTGGGGGTATTGGCCCACTCTACCTCCATGCCAAATTTCAAGTCATTTGGCTGAATGATGGCGGAGTTGAATCCCTTTGACTGTGCGGCAGGAGGAGAAGGAGGAGAAGAAACATGAGAGAACACAATATATTTCATCCATACCATGGTATGGACTGAAATATAATAATGTTAAGAGGGGGCAGTTGAAGATGAAGTGCATTTTATATGTAAGTGTCCTAACTACGATTTTGAAGGAAAAACGTATTCAAACTAGAAAGGCCAATATTTGCTTTGGAGCAAATACAGCGATGGGTTCACCACATTTTACGACATGGCAGGGAAAGAATGAGAAACACAAGGGAAAACAATGATTTACATTGATATAACTATAATATGAAGTAACATACAACTAAAACAACAGTTGGATAGCTATTTCCTACTTTATTGGTTAGGATTT